GGTAAAAACAGTTATAATCAGGGGAATCAAGAGACTCCAACAAAGAGAGTTGAGCAAAACAGGATCAGAAGCTAAAGCCCACACAGGTCAGATAACAGAATATGCATGACAGAAAGGCCTATCCCAAATGCAAGAAATGGCAGTGGCTAAAGTGTGAAAATCTAAACTCTAGACTCAGATGGATGTACCAGGACTGGCTTGTGAGGATGGCCTATGTAATGTTTGATGAAACTAATATAAAGCATATATAAATTATATAATATATGAGGCTAGTGCATTTCATTTTGGTCACATTAGTAACAGCTCAGTTGACCTAAGTTGTTTTGGCATGTAGGGTTTTACGCACCACGCTTTTTGTATAAATATCTTTCTGTCTGTTTCAAGTAAATATTTTACTTGGCCTTATTCTCATCTCGGATTCTAAAGGGGACTTCCAGATTCAGATAAGTGCCCTCCCGTAGACCCTCACATCCGCTGGGCCAGGGATGTGAGAATGAGGCCTTTGTTCCCATCAATACGGTGCCTTGTCAGGGAGGACTTCTGTTCCATTTTGAGGGCTTATGAAAAGGAAAGGTCAGCAAACGTCCCCAAACCATACCAGGCCACTTGCCTTCAGCATGGGTAGTGTAATCTACTCCCTTTCTCCACATTCTTCAGCATGGTTGCATCCAAGTGTTTTCCTGTCATCTTTATCCTATAATGAATCTTCTTGTATAGAAAAAGATGTATGCCTTATTCACATTAATGTGCAGCCCATTCATTTTGTCAACTTTCACTCAATAAGTCAACTTAGCAGAACTCTCATCCTTATTCCCCATCTTACAGCCACAGAAAAGGAGATTGCACTGAGATTTATTGTCTACTCTGTGGTGCTTCTCAGAGAATAAGATTACAGATTTTCCATGTGTTGAGTAATTCGTTTACTTGGTGTAAGGGTTCATGTACACAGAGTTTATAAGCATTTTCTATGCCTATTGTAAATTTACCAGCACTTTTCTGTGCCCAGGGAGCTGCTCGTGATGCATACAGTCTGTCATACAAGTGAATGAATGTACATGGCTGTATGTGTTTAGGAAATACATTGGATGTGCATGCAGGTAAACACCAATGCAAAGAAACGTGTTTACAGAACTATAAGAATACAGCCGCATATAGCCATTTACTTTTATGGCAGGCTGTATACAGCATGTGTGACTACTCAGGCGTGGGGAAGTGCCAGCAAATTAACACTAGTTATAAAAAATGTCTGTAGCTCTTCATGTGCATGAACCTTAAGATTCATTGTACATGTAATTGTGATACATTCTTCTACAGTATGTAATTAATACATAGCCCTATCAAAGGTATCTTCACTCCCCAAATTTAACTTTGCAGAAGGTTCTGGCATGGAAATAAGACTCCTGGGATTTGTATTAAAAAATAATTTCAATACAGTGTTGAATAGTAGGAAAAGATAGACGTATGCAGTTCAAACATAACTTTGTGTTTGTGTGTATGTGTGTGTCAAAAGATTTCTCACATTCACCCCACTTCATATCCCTAGTGCTCTAAGCTGTTATATTTCAGTGTTGATGGAAGAGAAAGGCATGTGTTTTTTGTTTGTTAATATATTAAAACTGGAACCAGCAGATCAAATCCTAGCAAACAGACTCATATGAGTGAACTACTGGGGGAGTTATGTTATCTCAAAACCTAAGCACACAAGAGGAATCCGTCCGTTCTTTGATTTTTTTCATTTTCTGTTAATGCTGGTAATGTCTGAGAAATAGAAATTAATCTAAGGTTGTATATACGTATGTTCACATACAGCTAGCATCCCATTGTTTATGATGTGCTACATTTTAGATTTTTTTTTGGGTCAAGTTCATGCCGCCTTTCAAACATTCAGCTTCTGTGGAAGTCACTGTATTTTAGCCAATATTTCTTCCAAGTGTTTACTTATGACTGAATAACGTGCAAATAATTTCAGCCTCCACTTTCATGTTGATGTCACAAGCTAATTCACTCACTTATTTAAATGCAGCATTAGTAATTTGTTTGCAACTCTGTACCAAAAATATGAGATGCTATGTTTCTTTTTTTTTTTTTGTCTTTTCAGTTGCACAAACTGAATAAAGCCACTCTCCAGAACCTGCTCAAACAGCATGGGATTTCAGTCAAGGCCAGGAGCAAAAAAGAACAATTAGTGGCAACAATAATGCATTTTTTTTTTCCAGGAATGCTAGTTTTGATTTTGTTTTTGATGTTATTTTAGTGGCTGGTATAACTTATAACTACTGCCAAAAAGTTTTTGTTTTGTTTATTTTGAATATATATGAGCTTTGCATTTTGACTGAATTTTGATTATACCTAAGTTTCTTACACTGAAACATCTTTGTTTTACTGTATGCCTTTTAAAGGATAACTGCATCTTTTACCAACTTTTAAGTTGGCTCTCCACCCCACAAACACAGTAGGCATCCATTCCTTAGACCTCATATCCACACTTTACATGGTCCTGCTGCCATCTCCCTGTCTGCTCCAGTGTTACATTTCATAAAATTGTGTCTTCTGTGGCCTCTGCTACCTGTTAAGAAGATACAAATTTGACTTGCACATGAGCGATGAGTGCTATATCAAATGCAAGATGCATGCATATCCTTTCAGTAAACATCAGAAACTGTAGGGGACACAGATTTATGAAACACGTCATGGAAACACACAGAGGGCAGGTAATGGCAATATGTAGAGTCTGCACCTGAGGTTTGTATAATATATGCCTATTGAGGCTAAGAGAGCAAACCTTACAGTAAAGTTAGGTGAATGTGATATTGTCTCTTAAAGGAGTTTTCCAGTAACACCGAAAATGTTGATTTGGGCTCTTTGCGACTAGCATGGTCAGGTCACATCACACACAGATTTGTGGACCTTCGTGCATTTCAAATTTCACACAGTAGTACTGCGAATGTATCATTGTACTCTGTAAGCACCATATATCTGAAGAAAAAAATATATACATAAGCAAGAGGGCAGTTTAGAGAAGTATGCGCCAAGAAACAAGTGCCAGGAACACTGACTGATTGTGTTCCTGGGCATTCGTCCCTGTGCGCATACAGCCCTAGACATAAGTACTATAGTAGGGTTTTGCAGAATGCCAACAGAGGGGCTGGACAATGCACCTGTGTTTTCTGCCTCTTATTTGTAATTCAGTTCGGCTGATCAGGACTTGCTACATTTACAAATAATAGTTTAGCTTTCAGGCAGTGTCCAATTGTCTTATTTTAGAGCAGAAGAATGCATCATTTTTCATCCATTTCACTACTTAGGAATCTACCCATTTTTCCAAGATCCGTGTTAGTGACACTCAATGGGAACATGCAAAAGGGGCAGTACAACAATAACTAATGCTATGTCCATTATCAGAATGTTTGTTCTATTATCCTCAGTATGTTTATGGTGTACAGGTGTCTATAATGCAATATCAGTAACTTGTACTGTGACTCTGTAAGTGTGTTAGTAAAGACACATGTTTCTTTGTTGTGATATTTTGTGCAATTGTTTTAATTTTGCAGTTGCAGTTTTATGCTCCCTATGAATCCTAACTCTGCAATGATTTTGGATGATAATAATCAGAATTTTTGATGAAAGATTTTGGTCAGAATGGCTTTATTTTTGCAGAAAAGTGCTTTGTTATGTGATCCCTTATGTGTCAGTGCGTTCATATTGATTCTTCGCTGCAGCTATTATAAGCTATCAGAAAGCTTGCTCCCTGCAATTGTACAATGGATGTAGACACTGTACAATTCATATTCATTTTCTCATTTTAATGTAAGTGTCCAGGCTTCTATGAATGCACATGCAACATGCTGTACATATTTTCTTTTCCTAGAGTAGACCTGTGTTCTGGATGCTAGCTTATTGTTATGTAAATCTACTCCTAGTGGACCTTTAAATCAGATTTCCATTTAAATGTTGGGATCCCAACCTTTAGGCCTTGTTAACACTAGCAGTGCTCTCTGAAGAGTGATCTGAATTCAGATCACACTTCAGAGAGCATTTGACAGGAACTGAGGCTGTAATTCATTGCCTCCTCGCCACCTGTTTTAACCCCTTAAACCCCACCCTAGTGCGTCTCAACCACATTGCAAGCCCCACTCTGACTGTGGGAATAATTGTTGCTGCACCATGATGCAAGGCATCATTGCCACTGCATATGTGCTTCTCCCCTTCAGCAAAAGAGCTGAATCAGACTATGACTAGGGACTAGGTTGTGCTCCTGCTAGGACTGGCAGTGAAACTACACTTAAGGCTTCATATACACGAGCAGCTCCTAAACTCGAATTTAGGAGCTTTTGGCATTTTTTTTTGCCAATGCGCCTAAACTCAACTCCATAAAAGCCTATGTGTCCATGTACACATAGGCTTTTAGCAGAGTTTAGGAGCTGCCGCATTTAGGTTGGGTTAAACCGCCCTCTCCTGAATGTAGAAGAATTGTGTTCAGGATAGGAACATTTTGACCGCCAACCGCAGGAGAATGCAAAATGCAGCAAGACTGCGGTACCGCAGTTGGCACGGTGTGCCACGGTTTTGCCGCGATTTGCATTTTCCCGCGGCCGGTGGTCATGGCAGGCTCATGTACATGAAGCCTAACAGTACTGGCTGGCAAAGGACAGTAATAGGGCAGACTGGTAGACTGCAGCAGGGCTGAAATGGCAGACAGGGAACTTGGCAAGACTAGTTGTGTCCAACTTAATGCTTGAGTGGAGACAGCATCAACCTTGAGTTTAAAATTACTTCCTCCCTCATCATCATGTGACACAACCAAGACACTCTGAGCACTATCTGGAAGTGACTGTGGGTGGAAGATGAGGCAGCATTGACTTTGACAACCTGCTGCCTGCAAATTGTACATATAACATACACTATATTGCCAAAAGTATTGGGATGCCTGCCTTTACACACATGAACTTTAATGGCATCCCAGTTTTAGTCTGTAGGGTTCAATATTGAGTTGGCCCACGCTTTAAGGACTGCTCCCCATTAAGGATTGGCACCTTTGGGGGTGGGTACCCGCTCCCACTTCTGATCCGATCACCTAGGCGTCCAGAAGTGGAAGGTGTCCTCCCTCCCTGTAGTCTTTTGGGACACGTGACCGCAAGCTGTCACAGCCGGGTGCCCACACTGAAGATTCCAGCCTCCTGGAATTCAGGATGGCCAGTGAAACACGCTGCGAGAGACACTCAGCGGGACCGAGGGACAGGTAAGTGGCTGGTTTTTTTAAAGCCAGCAGCTACAGTTTTTGAAGCTGTTGACTTTTATTTTTTGACAGGGTGAGTGGAACTCCACTTTAAAATACCAAACCTAACAGTTGACTGTGGAATATTTAGTAGCAAGGAAATTTTACGGATGGACTTATTGCACAGGTGGCAACCTATAATGGTACTATGCTTGAATTCACCTGAGCTCCTAAGAGTGACCCATTCTTTCACAAATGTTCGTAGAAGCAGTCTGCATGTCTAGATGCTTGACTTTATACACCTGATTGGAACATCTGAATCCAGTGATTTGAAGGGGTGTCCCAATACTTTTGGCAATATAGTGTATTAACACGTTATATTTTTCTAACTTGATAAAATATATAAATGCATTTTTTAAACTGGACAAAATATATATATGTATTTAAAGACTTTATATCTTATTAAGGAGAATGATGTATATCGAATCTGGCTTGCTTCTTTACTGCTAGTTTAAATAGGTTAAATTGTGGGAAATTATAAAAAGGCCATTCTGAATTTTCTGCAGATTGTTTGAACTTCTGTGTCAGGCAGCTTATAAAGGGCACTGTCTACCAAAAGAGCAATGCTAAATCATAGTGGTAAATCATAATTATAAACTACAATGACAGCTACTGAATTGGGCAGGTCACAATACATGACCTCTTGTCTATTGTGAGGAAACACTGTAGCCAGCCATCTGTTGTGTGTTGGCCTATATTCACAGTCAGTTTGTCACATCATAAATTCCTGAAAACTAGAATTGCTAAAGCGTTTCTGTATCTCCAGTGTTACAGCTAGGCTAGCGAAACATGAGTAATTTTTTTTCATTCAACCAGTGGTTTGAATGAAAGAAAATGACTTGAAATACTTAATGTGAATGGGGAAATTGCTCCCCTTGTGCTCTTGTATTCTTCCCTGCCATCAGAATACATTGATTGGCATAGCCATAGCCAGAGTCGCCGATTAACAGACAATTTTCCAAAAGGCTGGTTGTACACAAATCGATAGATTGACTTGTGATCAACCAGCCTGCCCATACATGGATTGAAAATTGTCCAATCCCTGCCAAACTGGACAAATTTTGATCCATGTATGGCTGGCTTAAAGCTTACAACTGGTTATACACTGTACAAATTTCTTCGCCGCCTAGATGAAATTACTCAGTTGGTGACCCTGCCATACCTGCTCTGTTCAGTCAACTGTTGTCAAAGGAGCCTGCTGGAAAAATATAATAGTTGCAGTGGGAGATTTATTTATCTCCACGCTATAGTGTGGACAGAGGAACCTGCTAGTTTTTTCATTCAGCCAGAAGGCTGAATGGAAAAAACTATAAGTGTATGGCCAACTTTAATATGGATTTACAAATGTGCTCAAAAGTTTACGTACCCTTAGAGAATTGGTAATATACAGAACACGAGTGAGCAGGCAAAACACATTTCTTTTATTGGATTCATATTAACCGCTTCCGCGCCACCCTATAGCAGAAATACTGCTACAGGGCAGCACGGTGTGCACAAATCACATATATATAGCAGCACGCATGCCCTATCAGTGTCGCCATTCGTGGCCATGCCTGTCAATCACTGGGTTCCGGAAGGTAATTACTCGCCGGCGCTCGGTGATTTCCAAAGATCAACAGGGAAGAGGACTGTTTTGTTTACAAACATTCCTCCTCCCTGTCAGCTTGGGCACACTGCTCTGGATAAACTGATCAATTACACAGCGCAAAAAAAGAATTAATATAAAGAAAAGTCCACAATCCAAAAAAGAACCGTGATTAAGGCAGAGCTTCACTCAAAAAGGGAAGTTCCGCTTTAAAGACTGATCCCCCGCTCCCCATTAAGGATTGGCACCTATCCGAAATTGACAGGTACCCACTTCCACTGCAATCACCTAGGCATTCAGAAGCGGAAGTTGTCCTCCTTCCCTTCCTCCCCATAGTCATTTGGGACACGTGACAGGTCCCTGAAGACTACGGGGCCATTCAGGAAGCGAAGCACTACTCGCGCATGCGCAGTGGGCACCCGGCTGTGAAGCCGCAAGCTGTCACAGCCGGGTGCCAACACTGAAGATGCCGACTCCTGGAACACCAGATGGCTGGTGAAACGGGCTGCGGGGAAGACACTGCGGGATCGTGGGACAGGTGAGTGGCTGTTTTTTTTAAAAGTCAGCAGCTACAGTTTTTGTAGCTGCTGTCTTTTATTTTTTTTACAGTGTGAGTGGAACTTCACTTTAAGTGCTCCAATAAAAAGAATCCATGCCAAAAAGAAGAAAACTCCAAAAAGAAATATATATATATATATATATATATATATATATATATATATATATATATATATATATATATACAGTTGCAAGAAAAAGTATGTGAACCCCTTGGGATTACGTGGAGTTTTGCATGAATTGGGCATAAAATGTGCTCTGAACGTCATCTAAGTCACAACAATAGAAGAACACAGTCTGCTGAACATAATACTACACAAACATTAGATGTTGCCATGGTTTAATTGCACAAAACATGTAAACATTCACAGTGCAGGGAGGAAAAAGTATGTGAACCTTTGGACTTAATAACTGGTTGACCCTCCTTTGGCAGCAATAACCTCAACCAAACGTTTCCTGTAGTTGCAGATCAGACCTGCACAACAATCTGGAGTAATTTTGGACCACTCCTCTTCACAAAACTGTTTCAGTGTAGCAATATTCTTGGGATGTCTGGTGGGAATCGCTCTCTTAAGGTCATGCCACAGCATTCCAATTGGGTTGAGGTCAGGATTCTGACTGGGCCACTCCAGAAGGCGTATTCTGTGCTGTTGCAGCCATTGTTTTGTTGAATTACTTGTATGCTTTGGGTCATTGTCCTGTTGCATTGCCCATCCTCTGCGGAGCTTCAGTTGGCGGACAGATGGTCGTACTTTTTCCTGCAAAATGTCTTGATAAACTCTGGAATTCATTTTCCCATCAATGACAACAATCCGTCCAGGCCCTGAGGCAGCAAAGCAGCCCCAAACCATGATGCTCCCTCCGCCATGTTTTACATTGGGGATGAGGTTTTGATGTTGGTGTGCTGTGCCTTTTTTTCTCCACACATAGTGTTGTGTGTTCTTCCCCAAACAACTCAATCTTGGTTTCATCTGTCCACAGTATATTTTGCCAGTAGTGCTGTGGAACATCCAGGTGCTCTTTTGCAAATTTCAAACGTGCTGCAATATTCTTTTTGGACAGCAATGGCTTCCTCCGTGGTGTCCTCCCATGTACTCCATTCTTGTTTAATGTTTTCCTTATTGTAGATGTGTCACCAAAAATGTTAGCATGTGCCAGAGATTTCTGTAGGTCTTTAGCTGACACTCTGGGATTCTTCTTTACCTCATGCAGCATTCTGCGCTGTGCTCTTGCAGTCATTTTTACAGGACGACCACGCCTAGGGAGAGTAGCAACAGTGCTAAACTTTCTCCATTTGTAGACAGTCTGTCTTACTGTGGACACATGAACATCAAGGCTTTTGGAGATACTTTTGTAACCCTTTCCAGCTTCATGCAAGTCAACAATTCTTCATCACAGGTCTTCTGAGAGCTCTTTTCTGTGAGGCATGGTTCACATCAGACAGTGCTTCTTGAAACCAGTAAACCCAAAACAGGTGCGTGTTTTTTAAGGGCAGGACAGCTGTCAGCAACACATCCAATATCATGACACTGATTGGAGTCAAGGTTGGCTCACTCCTGGCTCCAATTAGCTCTGGGAGAAGTCATTAAGCTAGGGCCTCACATACTTTTTCTTCCCTGCACTGTGAATGTTTACATGTTATGTGCAATTAAACCATGGCAACATCTAATGTTTGTGTAGTATTATGTTCAGCAGACTGTGCTCTTCTATTGTTGTGACTTAGATGACGTTCAGAGCACATTTTATGCCCAATTCATGCAAAACTCCACGTAATCCCAAGGGGTTCACATACTTTTTCTTGCAACTGTATGTATATATATATATATATATATATATATATATATATATATACTGTATATAGTTCCTGAAAAAAACACAAGGTAATTACACCACGTAGTGCTTAGTGATCCCTCCCTTGTGGAATCCACGCTCACCAGATATGATGGACTCCTAGTTTTTAGGGCTTAAGAGTCAAAAACGCTTATTACTGGTGAGATGTGCTCACAGAGATATCCGGGGTTCAATGAAGTATAGGTGCAATTCATCAATGTATTCCAAGATTCATCATGCGGGCAAAGGGGAACCCGAAAGGACACTAATAGTGTAATACTGTTAAGCTTCTTTATTCAAATAAAACAGTGGTACACATTGCACTCACATTTTCTAAGCAACATATGAGCCTTGAGATAGTATATTATCCACAGCCTTAAACCATAGTACAGCGCTAGTAAAAATGGCTCCGGAGCGCTCTCTTTCTTTTTGCTCCACTCGCCGGACGTGATGTCACACAGCCTAGCCGGAACCGGAAATTGTGTCAACACGTTTCACGTCTGGTGAGTGGGAGCGCACATGAACAGCAACACTCCGGAGCCATTTTGACTAGCGCTGCACTGTGGTTGAAGGCTGTGGATAATATACTATCTCATGGCTCATATGTTGCTTAGAAAATGTGAGTGGAATGTGAATCGCTGTTTTATTTGAATAAACAAATGGTCTTTTCTCAAATTGTAAAGGTGTAAAATGTTCTGGGTTTGATTATAGCTACAATATTTTATTACCAAGGAGATTTTGCATCTGTAGGCTGTGGAATATGTCTGTTTTAAATAAATTATTCAAGACTTTCCTTTTGTGATATATCTGCTTTACTGATCATTAACGAGGACAGGCATTTTGTCCAAGAAATGTCATGCTTCTTCTAGCCGAATACGATGTTTTAGATGTCCTTGCCAGGAAAATAGCTTAAGCTGTAAAAGGAGATCACTTCCTACTTTCATGATTCATCTCCCATTCTGTTTTTATTAACCAGGGTAGTACTTTAAAAACGCTACAATCTTAAAGATAAAAAAAAGTTAGACTGTTAAATGGAAACTATAATTGTGCAATTTTATTTTAGTTTTCAGTAAGTTTAAATTTGAAGCTGTTTTAAATCAGTTTTTAATATATATGTACATTCTTAGTTTTACATAGTTACATAGTGTGGTTAAAAAAAAAAGACACAATCTAGTTCAACCAATAAAAACTAAAAAAAAATCTATACAATCCTATATAAATAATCTTATATCACAGTTGATCCAGAGGAAGGAAAAAAAAACACAGCAAAGCATGATCCAATTTGCTCCAACAGGGGAAACCTTTCCTTCCTGATCCCCTTAGAGGCAATTGGATATTCCCTGGACCAACTTTACCTATAAATGTTAGTATCCAGTTATATCATGTTCATTTAGGAAAGAATACAGGCCTTTTTTAAAGCAGTCTACTGAGCTGACCAGAACCAGCTCTTGAGGGAGTCTCTTTTCGTATTTGGAGATTAAATCTTTTTTCCTCCAAATGTAAAGAGTGCCCCCTTGTCCTCTGTGATGACCTTAAAGTGAATAACTCTACACCAAGTTCACTATATAGTTTATTCTCTCAAGAGAGAATAAATTTAGTTTCTCTAATCTTTCCTCATAGCTGAACTCCTCTATGCCTCTTATCAGTTTGGTTGCACTTTCTCGGTTCCCCCAATTTCCTTTTTTTGAATTTGTAAGGGTGTGGGGAGTGGATAATTACTGATGTGCAATGTTAAACTGCAATACGCTCTTTGGTCAGTAGATGGCAGCAAAGTACAAGAATCGATTTTGCATTGAGGTTTACTAAGACAAAAACTAATGCTTATTTACCTTATAAAGTTTCATGAATGCTAATTTAGGGGCTGAGTAGGACCCTCAGAAGGGTCATAGTGAACTGTAAATATAGGTTTGAGGCTGAAATTAGGAAATTACTTACTGCATCACAAACTCTCTGGGAAGGGGAGGAGTTCTGGTGCAGAGCAGGAAGTGAGAGGGCTTCTGTGTCTGGCTGGTGTATGCTGAGGACGTCTGGAGAATCTGTGCGGAGCCTGGAAGAGGATTTACGGCTCACAGTGGAGTCTGGCAACGGCACCTAGGGAAGATTCACCGCGACTAGACCGGAAACAAGTGACTTTACGGTCCGGTTCTGGAGTGGACCAGTGGATCAGGAAAAAGCACCAAGAGCCTGCCAAGGAACTGTAAGTGCGGCTTTGCCGCAGCACATCGCACCACACGTGTTCATTGACATTTTGGATATACCAGAAAGCTACAAGAGACATACTCCACTTTCCTTTGGATTACAAATAGTATTGCGCAATACTTAGGGTGCACCCCAACGTTATATCTTGCTCAGGAACATTCAGGCGCAGCCAGGCTGCTTTCTGGACATTGGGGGAAAGTCCGCAAGTACAGGGTTAGTGTTAGACAGTATTATTCTTACTGTATGGTTATGCGCTGTTATCATTCTGTTTATGTATGCTCAACTACATGTTCACTATAACTGTTCAGTAAACGTAATTGTTGTAAAAGAACCACTGTCTGTGTCTGTGTGGCATCGTGTACCCTCTGAATCTGTGGGCCCAGCCCTCAGTTCTCTTTCATTTGGCTCTGCGAGCAGGGTACATTGATCGCCATGCAGAACGCAACTGGTTCCGAGGCGGCTCTGGCCGTGGCCTCTGTCACTCCTCCTGCCGTGGGAGTAGCTCCGACCATGTGTTTGCCCGCAGGAGCAATATTGAACCAGCTTGTGTGGTTTGATGGCCAGAATATGCTGTTAGAAGACTGGGCTGCACATCGTAAAAGCACCCGCAGATTGTACAATTTGGCACCGGATTTACAAACAGACGTGGTGCTGAACGCCCTGGAAGGGGATGCTAGACGCACTGTAATGCTACGTTCGGAATAGGAAAGGAAGACACTGGATGCTATATTCTCGATTCTCGAGCCTATTTATGGAGAAACGGCCGGCACTGGCAGCCTTAGGTCCAGCTTCTTCATGCGCTTCCAGCAGGAAGATGAGACTATTCCCCAGTTCGCTAATGCCCTTCAAGAGATATGGGCACATATACAGAAGAGAGAGGCCA